GTTGAAAAATCAGTGGAAATAGTTCCATCACTTTGAACATGAAAGATTGACAAGTCACTATCATCCAAGTGTATATCTATTCGTTGATCACTAAAACTAAATTCCAATAACAATCAAAAATCAACTCCAACTTACCCATTTTGAACGTGGCCCTTAATGCAACAAATGACATCTAGTAAAGAAGAAATGGCACTGGAAACGACTATTTCACCCAGATCTTTTCTTTGCATTGAATCTAATCTTTGCAAACTTGATACTAATGAAAATATGTGATGAGCCCGAACTCTTTGTTTCGTACTCTCGGAAAGGTGTTTTGCTGCCTTTTCGAATGATTCTGATAAATCTTTGATGCTATCGGTATCTATAAATTGGTAGTAGCAATCCACAAGAATATCTAAGGTGGATTCACATATGGGAAGTGGATGAGTTTCTTTTGGTGTAATGTTTAGAGCAAATAAGAACTTTAAGGTGTCCTCTTTTTCAATCGACGGATATTGTGTTTTCTTCACATTGATATATAATTGTTTGGTGATGTATTCGACCACCAATTGGATCTTATCCGAGTCGTCTTGAAGTATTTCGCACGCTTTTAAAATTTCTTGCAATTTGTTTCTCTTTTGTGGCTTATTCATTTTTTTTGAAATGTACTTTAATATTTTACAATTAATCTCTTCAATAAATACTATTCTATATTTATTGAATTACTAGTTGGGAAATACAAGCTATACTACCAGGTTGAAATGGAAAAATCAGTCATTTGACTCTGGTATTGCTTACCTTGACCCAGTTGGGAAGTTTGAGTATTGTAGAATTGACATACGCCCATCAATGTGGAATGCATGAAATCAGAGAAGAACGATCAAGTGGATCTATGATGATCTTACAAAATGAATTAATATCTTAGTCGACATTTGTATCCACATAAAAATATTGCATAATTGATTTGTAGAATGTATCTTCAATCTGTCCTCTCTTTGGAAGGATTGTTTCCCAAAAGTCATCTTTATCGAAATGACCTTCCCTGACTTGGGTCAACAATTCTTGATCGTATTTTCTAATGTATAAATTGCACAAGTACTTCTTTCTATCAATACTGAACATTGGTGGAGGAGGCTTTTCAGGAGTTTCAATAGAAATTGGTCTTGTGGTA